AAGCTCCCTGCCTCCTCAACCTCTCTTTCCCCAAAGGCCTTCTCATCTTGATCCATCCTGGTGGCATATCAAATAGTTTCTCTCCTCTCAGAGGCAAGCTTATTTACTTCCAGTTAGGGAGAAGTCAGCAGCTGGGTTGTTCTTTGACAGTCTTATGACTTTGGAGTTTCTGGTAGAGTAATAATTTAGAGGAGCATACTAATGTTCTTTGTGTATTTGTTCAGTTTTATTTTTCAAAGAAGGTAAATGTTGCTGGAGACTTAACCAGACCCTGCCTGCGAGCTCCACTCAGCAAAAGCAACCTGCTGGTAACTTGATCCTCACTCTCAAGAGGCAGGTTAAAACTACCTGTTAAATGTTTTAGGCTTGCCTTTTGAGGGTCTTACTCCCCACCCTGAGATCCTTTACAAAGCATCTCTTCCAAAATAGACACATTTGTTATATTTTTTAGATTTAGCACCTCCTCTATATTGGTAAATCAGGCACTGACTAGCTATTTGTATCAAAATCAAACCACCCTCTTGTTTTTTTCAAAGTTTTCACCAATGATGCCGTTTTCCCTATAACTTTTCCTTTCTCTCCCTGGTATCCATGAGAGTAGGCATCTCAGATCTCCAACCACAGGAAACATAATTAACCTATGGCCTCAGTTGCTGTGCTTTCAAATTCATTATTGCATTTTTTTGTGGCCACATTTTCATGGGGTGCTCCCAGTCAATGAGTAAGGACTACTGAGACATCAGAGATACTAAGGCAGGCCCATTCTTGGGAGAGGGGAGACTCTCCTCTGATAGATGACATTGGCTCCAATGTCTGCAAGGGTAAAGGCAGCCATGACAATGAACAGTCCCTGTCCATAATCAGGTGACTGACTTCTGGAAAAAATAAAAACAAAATAGGATTCATTCTGAGATAGAAAAACTCCCAATATCATGCAGAATGAGTGATTTCAACCATCTAAGGCAAGGCAAGATTAGTATAAACCTGGATCAGGGCCCAAATAACACCTTCTAAGAACCAGGTATTTGTATTCCTTCACTCAAAAAGATGTATTACCAAATTTCTGAATAAATAACCATTAGTATCTAGAGCATTGTTTTTCAAACATTAAAATGCATACAAATCACCAAGAGACCCTTGTAAAAATCAGATTCTAGTTCAGGAATTCTATGGGGAGGCCTGTGATTTTGCATTTCTAACAAGTTCCAAGTAATGCTTATGCTGTCGGTCCCCAGACCATTCTGATTAGCAAAGACCTAGAGAATCTCAAGGATGCCAGGCATATTGGTTAACTGGTAGAATGGAGAGAGGTCCCTTTCCAGAACAAACAGCATCAAGTGGGTCTCTCTAGCTGGGTTTTCAAATCTTTCTGGCCATTTATGTGACAAATATGTACAGAGCACGTTTGTCAAGCACTGCGCTACGTTTGGGGGTGGTCCAGAATAGAGGGCATGGAGAAAAGAGAAGGTGGGAAACAAGATACAGTTTTTGACTCCAGTATCTTTTAGTCATAATCATGAACAAACCATGTTCAAACCACATAAGAGTGTGATGAGAGCCACATAGTCCAATCCCGAAGGTTGTAATGAAAGAATTTCTATTAACACCAAAACTGAATCATTTGCTGGCAAATGCCCGGCATTTGCGTGATGTGGTGTGTGCCTGTGTGTAGGAGATGCATCCATTGCTAAAGATGAGGCAGGCAGAGGCCCAGAGGAAAGGAGGAACATGGCACCGCTAGGGGATTACAGCTAGTTCAGTACTGCTGGAATGAATGGGAACTGTGACAAGGACTTGGGTCAGAGGGCAAGGCCAAGGAAGGGCATTACAGTCCATGTTTATGGTTCTGGATATTATCTAAAGACATTGAAAAGCATTTGATTTTTAGTCTAGAAGTATCACTGGCAGAAATCAAAAGCAGTAGGAATGTAAAGTGAATGGATTTGAGAAATATTTGTCTGATTCTCTGGTTTGACTCAAAGAAGGCACTGCTCTAAGCAACTAAGGATTGCTCAGACTGGAACTATGTGAGATGCCAGTTGGAGGAGGGTGTCAGGATGCAAGGAGCACAAGGACTCTTAGGAGGTGGAGGGCCTGGCAAGTCTGTGTGAAATGGTGTCAACATTCCAGTGCAAGGCCTTAGGCATGCCAGGTTTGACTCCTAGTTATATTTGCAAAGGAAGCTAACTTGTCCAACTATTCACCTGGGAAAATACATTCTCATAGGAGATGTATTTACCAGCACATATTAGGTTTAATAGAGAGCTTGAGCAGGCCTCCTGGACCAAGGCTTGTTCCACTGAGGTGTCCAGTGCTCCCAAATCCATAACTACTTCAACCTGGTGTATGGGCACAACACTACAATGTTTGTCACCCTTCACACCACACATTCAGGCCCTGCGTGCAACTTCTGTTTGTTTGGTTTACTGACTGAATCAAACTCTAGTGCCTAAAATCAGTCATATCCCATTTGCCTTGACTGCCAGTATCCTGTTTACTACAAATATTACCATTTTTCACATCACCCAGTCTTATGACTAGAGTCATCTTTTTTCTCTTTTCATTTACACTTTACTCTTCTGCTGTATCTTAGTTTTGGTTAATATCAGATGGCAGAGATCTCCATACTGCCTTTCTTTCTCTAACCTCTCTTATCCATTATGTGGAATATCTGCATGGGTCATATATTGACATTGTTTTTTTATTATAAATGAGCCATCAACTAAAATTTTATATTTAATAGTGTGTGTGACTTGAAGACAACACTATGAGCAAATAAATTCTATTTAACTGGGGCTTGGTAGAGGATATGGGCAAAATCCATAGCAGCTGTATAACCCTAAAAAAGTTACTTTGCCTGTTGGTGCTTCTATTTCTTCATGTATAAAATGGAGATAATAGGGTCTCCCTAGTGGTACAGGGGTTAAGGCACAGCACTATCAAACTATTGCCAGCCACTGTGGCATGAGTATGATCCTTGGCCAGCACATGGTGCTGATCCACATGGCGCAGCAGACCTCTTCTTCTGTCTTGCCCGCTGTTCCCCTCAGCAGTGTTTTTCAATAGATTCGCCTCTTCTGCTCCCCACTCTGTCTCTGGTAAATCCTCTCACCACCAACCCCCCCACCCCCCCGCACCTCTGGCCTACACCCCAGTTCTTATATGTGTAAATAAATAAATCTTTAAAAATAAATAAATAAAATGGAGATAATAATAGTACCTACTTCAGAGAATGGCTGTGAACACTGAAAGAGTTAATATCTGTAAATTATTTAGAAAAGTCTATACACAATGGTAAGCGCTATAATATCTGGATTTAAGTAGGAGTCAATTAGGAAATGAGCCTATCAAATGGTTCGAAAATCATAAAATGAGGCCTTAAATACTATGATGAGTGAATCATGGGGCTTGGCTAAGTTTGTGAGTGGAGGATATGACAATGAATGTTGTATCTAGATGAATCTAGTAGTGGAAAGCCTGGTGGCCCTCTTGACCAGAAATCTTTGCTTAAATCTAGTAATTGAATGATTCAAAGCCTGATTTATTTACTACTGTTTTAGATTAAAAACATAGGTTTTCATAGGCATTTCAGTCTAATGCAATGTCAATCAAATAGGTCTCAAGGGAAAGAAACAAATGCTATAGGTTTACATAGTTTGCATTTAAAGAAGTCAAAAATTTCAGAATATGGTTAGTTCCAAAGTATATTTTTGATAAGCCAGCTTGAATACTGCATTGTGGATAACAAGGTTAAATAAAGGTTCTAATAAGACAAACAGCGACAATTTAAATAAATCAGATGTTTTTGTCGAAGATTACTCTGTGATTTTCTCCAATTATTCATGACATTTCACCCATTCATATTGTGATCTGCTTTAATAGTGGAAGGGAAAAAAAAAACCTTGTCTCCTTGTTTATTCTTTGTTCTCAAGGAGATAAGCTGTTTATAAAGATACGTTATTTGTTATTTAAATCACTTTTACTGAAGTTGTTTATTTCCTTGTTTCAGTTTCTAAAAATATTGCAACAATTGTAATGCTTCTTAGAGATGTCTATTCAATTCAGAATGATTTGTACTGAAATTCTTTGCTAAATGGGCACAGGTGCTGATGTGTATAACATGCTAGAGTGAGTCAAAACTAATAAACGCTGAAAAAAAAAAGGGGATATACTTGTGTTAACTTTTGAAATGTGATTAAAAACATTTTGGACCAAAAAGACTTGGGTATTTGTAAAGGTCTATCTCTATACTTGTCATTTTATAAGTATTTAATAATAATTAATTAAATATAACACCAAACTATAAGCAGAAAAATTGCATAATATAAAAATCCAGAAATTTATTTCTTGGAAAATGCCCTCTAATTACTTTGTAGACCTTAAAGATCATAATTATAATATAAGAGTAATTACATTAAAGAATGATTTACCTGGTAGTAAAGTATCAAATTAAAGCTGAAAATAGTACATGTAAACAATGTTAGATTTAAAAAATTGTTGAACAGCAAATGTGGGAAATTATATCTCCTGTTTCTCTTTTTGCAATGCATAAAATTTCCTCCAGAGTAAATATTGGTAATTTGATAATATTCTACATAGTAGAATAGTATACAGCTATATATTAACATTTCTTAAATAGCAATCTAGAAATCTAAACCATGGCTTATGCCAGGTAATCTACAGGATTGATACGTGATATAAAGCTGAGTGGATTTGTTATTTTAAGGGACAGTTGATTAGTTCCAAGAACTAAAGCTTCAAAATCCAGCTGAGTTGATTTGGATTAAAGAAATGAAGTCTGTACCATAAATTATTGTGTGTATTCCTGCTAAGTAAGCCCTGGTTATGGAAACTTGGATCTGTGGTCACACATCTCTCCCTTTGAAGTTGATGAGACTTGCTCAGTCTAAGTGAGATATATGCTGTGAAAATTGGGCCTTGACAACTGTTGTGTATAGACATTAGAGGTCTCACAGTGCTTTCTTTATTTGATCCCTTAGTTTTCTCCAGTCTTGGTTTCGGCAGAGAACACTCAACTTTGGAATGAACACTTCTTGGATTAGGTAAGTCCCATGACTACAAGGTATTCAGGTTTTATCCTCTTGAGAGCCTAGACTGATAGCTCCTTTATTATCAGTAAAGTTGGCTAAATAAAACACATCTTGATTTAAACTTAGCCAAGTAATCTCCCCAATATGTCTATTTGAAAACAAAACTCCTTTGAAGTGTAGGCCAATCATAGCTAGTTCTGAGTGTTGTCAGCTGGTATAACTAATATTTAAGAGCAAATGAGTTCATAGAGTTTTATCATTGCATCTTTAAGTTTTAAAGATTGGCTACATTATAGTTCTACTTTAATTCCTCTGAATAAGCAGTCTACAGAACTGAAAAACATTCAGTCTATTTGATTGTCTGGATGCATTATATAAAATCCAACTAATCATATAGCAAAACTAAATTGGTTATGACCATCAATGAGTAGAAATCAAAAGTATATGTGGCAAGGTCTGTTTTTTGTATATATATAGAGAGAGCTGATGTAAGGACTATTTGAAGAACTAGCTCATTAAATAGACACACCATTTAATTTTTTAAAAAGATTTATTTATTTATGCATACAAGAGCTGGGTATAGGCCAGAGGTGTGGGGGGTGAGAGGATTCATCAGAGACAGAGTAGGGAACAGAACAGGCAGATCTACTGAAATACACTGCTGAGGGGAGCAGTGGGCTAGTCAGAAGAGGTCTGCTGCGCCATGTGGGTCACCTCCCTGCCCAGGAATCAAACTTACGCTGCAATGGTTGCAGATAGCTTCATAGTGCTGATGCTTAACCCTTGCTTCACCACAGAGGCCCCACGCCATTTAATTTTAAGAAGGAGTAGTATCTGTGTTATCTTGGGCAAGTCATTTTTTTTCTCAGGGTCATTGAATCTTTTTTTTTTTTAATTTTTTTTTTAAAGAGGCATGTATTTTTATTTATTTGTTTGTTTATTTATTTGTTTGTTTGTTTGTTTATACATGCACTGGGTACAGTCAGAACCGGGCCAGAGTGGGGAGCAGAGCAGGCAGAAGGACCGAAGTACACTGCTGAGGGGAGCAGCAGGCGGCAGGAGAGGTCTGCGCGCCATGTGGGACCCTCCTCTGGTGGCCGGGGATCGAACCTGCGACGCAGAGGCCGCAGGGAGCTTCACAACCCAGCGCTCAACCGCTGCGCCGCCAGGGAGGCCCAGGGTCATTGAATCTTAATATGTGAAATGTCTGGATTAAAATTGGATCTTTATGGTTCCGTGAGGATCTAAAATAATTTTTCTCATTACATCTGGATATTGTTCTAAATGAAGTCCCCCCCCCCATAATAATGAGTACCAAGTATATCTGCAGTATTAAACCTGGAATATCCTTGTAGTTTTCCTGGAAATAGTGAAATTCAATTACTGGTTTTTGTAATTATTTTGATTAATATGAATTTTTCTAATAAAAAAATCAGAACTTAGGAAAGGAGGGGTGAGAACTGGGAATGGGATCAGTTTTCCAGTTTTTCCAAGATAGTATATATGGAGGGTCATGAAAACAAATGAGATATTTGATAAGTCACTCAACGTTTTCTGGCCCTAAGTCATTTGATTAATATGAGATGATAAGGTAGGTAGAAGCCAAATTCCATTTTCTTAAGCTCCATAATAAAAAAATTGTACTTCATTTTGTAGACAGAATAGTACTTCATTTTGTTCTTCATTTTTTACAAGTTTAAAATCTGTGAAGGGATGTGGTCAGATAGGTCATATCTTTGGAAACAAACTGAGAGCAGGATGGAGAGAGAGCACCAGTTAGCAGATGATTGCATTAGCCTCAAATGGAGTAAGACCCAAAGATGGCGATGGATTTCCACCACATTAAAACCATATAGATTCAATCATATCTGGCAAAAGATTGGATGTGAGTGATAAGGAAATTAATTGAAGGTGACTCTGAGATTACAACCTGGAGTTGGGGGAGGTTAGGGAGTTGGTTAGGTGTTGTTGCTATTATTAAAAAAATGTCAGCGAGGACATGTAGAAAATTATATAAGGTAATTTTCTATTTCTCCTACAAAAAATTTGGGTAAGGAACATAAAATCAGAAAATACATAGGTAAGTATAGACATGTGGGTTTCCCATATCACAAAATTTTTCAAAACAGTTGAATGTATGCCATATTGAAAATGATTTTATGCTAATCAAATACAGAAAGCAAAGAAGCAGTAGCACATTTCAGGTGCTTTGCCAATGATGAGCATGATACTGGAGGCCAAGAAATAATGGGAGCTACTGCTTGGGGAGGTTTGAGGATGTTTAACATATTTCGTTACCTTGGAAGGGCCCCCTGGGTAACTCACATTTATTTAGGTTTCAGAATCTCGGTCAGGTAAGCTAATAGCCAGGGCTCAAGGGTTACCCGACTGGACGTCATAACCATGTTCAAATTCCTTGAAAACACTTGGGGCTCTACGGCAGGGCGCCCGGGCCACGTAGCTGCCCCTCCTCTCGCGCCTGACTGGCCCGCCCCGCCCACGCCGCTGCCGCACTGCTTGCCGGGAGCCGTAGTCCTGGCTGTCAGCGCCCGGAAGGACCCAAGGGCACGGGAGTCCAGCCCGCCCCTTGCTACTAGAGATCACGTTCCTCGGCTGCGCCTGTGTCTCGGGCGGAGCCTCCCGCGATCACCACTGGATTTGTCTGTGCCACCCTTCCTCTCTTCTGGGTTTCAATAAAGTTTTCCTCTTCCCGTGTACGGAGCTCAAGATGGCGGCCTCCTGGTCGCCCTTGGTTACCCTGCGCTTAGTGCAGAGCCGGCTGAGAGGGAGATGTTTTGGGTGCAGGGCCTGGGCCGCTGCTCTCACCCCTCCGGCCACCGCCCCTGGAAACCCCCTTTGGAAAGGTCAGTGACCGTGCCATGAGTAGGCCGAGCCGTCTGCATATGACCAGAGAGGTCTCGGGTCAGTCACCTTCCCTCCTCGGTCTCACCTAATTGGTCTCCTGGCTTCACGGTTTTAGGAGTTAGGGTGCGCTCGAGAGGAGTTTCAGCCGCTCTTGCCCTATTAGTTCCAGTCCACGAAGATGCCTTGAGCACTGAGGCAGATGGTCCAGAGTGACTTTAATTTCGAGGGTCAGAGGTCGACCCAGAGTTGGTACCCTCCCGGTGTTCGATCTGGTGCGCCCAGGTGTGGGAGTGTCTGGCTTCCCGGGATGAGAGTGTGGGGTTCGTGCCGGCGAACGTCCCACCCATCGTCATCCCAAGCTCCTGGGGCTGGGGACCTGGCACTGTAAGGAAAACCCACGCCCCAGAACCCCGCAGGTCCCTCTGGCTCTCTGAATTCTGGGAACTCAACTCAAGCCTTCTTAGATTGAAAGATCTATTTTAGAGGCTTCAGTGGGGGTGCATTTTGTCAAGGGCCTTTTTTCCTTCTTTCGTTTATTTTGCATTCAAGAATGAATCTCTATTTTGAGTAACCGGACTGCGTTATTGTCTCCCCCATCCACGTACTTAGGTTTTTCCTTTTTCTCCAAGCATCCCCTCTTAATATATCTTAATAAATTCTCATTGGCTTATTTAGCTAAAATTGTATCAGCCTTTGACTGTGATCTGCAATAGAGTTGATTAGTGCTAGAATTATGTTTAAATCACCATAGGGTTCTCTTAAAATTTCGGTGTAACTCAATATATAATGAAATATTTTGGTTGCATAAGTTCATAATATAAGCTTTATTTTTATTTCTGAAATAGGCAATAGAAGCAAATGATAACAAAATTTAAAGTGTATAAAAAGTAATACCTTAAAATGTAAGACTTTCTTCCACTTCTATCCCTTAGCCACTTAGGTTTCCTTCCCAGAGGCAACGTCTAATACTAGTTTCTTATGTATTCTTTCAGAGACATTCTGTGTATGTACTAATGTATATGTATATAGCTATCTGCATTTAAAAATGTAGAAGTGATAGCATACTAACAATGTTTTGTTTTGTTTTTGTTTTCATTTATCTTGGTGATCATTCCATATCCGTATTTGTAGAACTAACTAGTATTTTAAATGGTTAAAATAGAATTCCAGTCTATGAGTGTACCATAATTTATGAATATTAAGATTTAAGAAACATTATTATCATAACATAAGATTTACTGAATGTTTATTCTAGTCATGCAATATGCTAAGTGCTTTCTACATACATTATCTCATTTAATTCTCATGATCCTCATTTTGGAGATAACGAATCCAAGGTTGCAGGAGTTATATAGTTAGTTAAGTGGCTGAACTAGTGGGTTCAAGGAAAGGCTCTTCTTGTATGGATTTTATCTTGTACTCATGCTACCTCCTAAATTCAAAATTTAGCTAGTTTTGGTATGGAGATTTGAGAAAAATGCAGTTAGGCTAAAGATTGATTTAATTGCATCTAAAGATCCTTCCTACCCCTCTATAAATAAAAATGAAAGGAAAAATTTAAGTCAAAATGTGTGGGTAGCATTGGCATAATGTTAAAAGAAGGAAAATAGATAAAGGAAAGGAAGGAGGGGAAAGCAAAATATGTTCTTAACTTTGTTTTTATGCGTTATTTAAGTATTAATTTCAGCTCTGGCTCCAGGACAATTTAGAAACTGGAACTTTGAAAACTTTAGGGGTCTTAAAATGCTGTTCACCCAAATCACCTACCTGATTGCCTGACTTTAAACTCCTTAGGATATACAACTTCATGAGGCAGCATTTTTGGGATATGTGTATTTCTATCAATAAGATTTTTAAACAATTGAAAGTGAAATTTGGTATCTTCTCTAATTGAAATGCTTATGTTCAATTTTGATTTCACTGCCTGTTTTCTTTTAGTCTAAGTGTGTCTTCATTTAATGTAACATTTACTTAACCTACAGACAGTTCTAGGAAGGCATTTATTAGAAATCAGATTGGCCATGGTGTGGTGGAAAATTGCTAAGTCAGTTGAAGCATTCTATTAAATGTGATGGAGGGGGGAAGTGAATTAAATTGAGTCTCTGCTGTTGAATAGCTAAGTCTTAGAAGATGAAATTATAATGGCTAATATTTATTGAGCCCTTTCTATGTTCCAGGCAGTCTGCTAGCAGTTTCTTTCTGTCTCATAATTCATCTTCATAAAACCCTATAAAATTATTATGTCTGTTTTATAGATGAATGAACAGGCCTGGCCACCCAGCTGGGATTTGAACCTAGATATATTTGCTTCTGAACCACAAACTTAACTATGTTCTACAAGCTCCTTAACATAACAATGAACATCAGAAACACATGAGCTAGGCCCATCTGAAGTGCTATAGGGCTATAGAGGAGAAAACAACTTTGTTGGAAGAGGGGATCGCTTTTTCAGGGAAAGTGTAGAAGTGAACTGTACATGGCCCTTACTTAGTACATGGTTTCTGAGGGATGCTAACTAGAGAGGAGGCTGGAAGGTGGGTCGGAATTGTGGTTAAAAGAGTCTTGTATAGTGTGTGAAGATGTCTAGGCTCAGTGGGACACTGTTGGAGCTTTGTTAAGAAAACAAGTTGGGGCCTCCCCGGTGGCGCAGCGGTTGAGCGCTGGGCTGCGAAGCTGCCCACAGCCTCTGCAGCGCCGGTTCAATCCCTGGCCGCCGGCTGAGGGTTCTACATGGCGTGCAGACCTCTCCTGCCTCACCTACTGCTCCCCTCAGCAGTGTACTTCGTCAGTCTGCCTGTTCTGTTCCCCGCTCTGGCTCTGGTGAATTCTCTCACCCTCCCGCGCTTCTGACTGTACCCAGTGCTTGTATAAATAAATAAATAAATCTTTAAAAAAACCAAAAAACAAGTTCATCAGATCCATTTTGGCATGATTATTCTTCTGGCCACCTGAAAAGAGATCAGAAACCCCTGGATGGGGGAATACTGGAAGCTGTGTGATTGTTTCGAAGGAAACTGTAGAATTTCAGGGGATAGCGGTTTTTTTTTTTTTTTTTTGGATAGCAGTTTAGGACCTGAATTACTGCTTTGGTGAAGATGGAGAACAGGCAGATATGGAGGGAGGGAATTCAGAGACATTTCTTTGGTAGAATTGACAGGCTTTCAGAGAGACAAGGAAAGGGAAGAGTTAAGATCAATTTAGTTTCCTACTTTGTATAATTTAAGAGCAACCAAACAAAAAAAATTTAAGGCATTTTAAGAGGAGATTCCATTTTAGACTTGCTAAATTTGAGGTATTTTTGACAGTTCCAAGTAAATTCTGATTAGTTGTAGGAAATACGGGGATCTGAGACTGAAAAAGGAAATGGGAAGTGTTAAGAGCCATGAAAATGAAAGAATGTAGTCTGGGAATATTTGTAGAGTTAAAAGGAGAAAAAACTAAAGAGTCCTTGAGGAAAACTGACTTTTATGATCAAGAGAAAGTGACCTCACTGGAGGGCAGTTGCAAAGATGATAGGAGAATTAGGAGAGAAACCAACAAAGAGAATGTATCTAAGTTTTCTAAAACTAAAAATGTATCTGAAATTCTGTCTAGCTTTAGCAATCATTTCATAGAGGCAAGATAATAGGAATGTCATGTCTTGTGATTTTGTATTATTCTGGTATCCTGCATCTAGCTCATTGTTCTATTTTTAGGTTGTCTATTAAATGATGACTCATTTATTTACCTTTAGCTCCACAATCTCTTCATTAGTACATGTACACAGGAGATGTTGATTAGGTATTAACATGAGTACAACTAACCTCAGCCTATGAATTGGTATAATTTATTGGTAGTGCAGATTAGTGGTTAAGGAAATGGACTTTGGACTTTTTTTTTTAACCAAATTAGATGAATAACCTTGTGTGAAATTTTATGTTTCATGGATTTCCATTAACATTTATATATTATTATATTAGAAAAGACTTTTCATGCCTACTGAGAAGGGTTAACTTAGTGATAATGATTTCTTTCAATTGTTATTTTTTAAATCATAGTTCAACTTATTTCATAAGCATAGCCAATGCCCTAGATGTAGTTCTGGGGTGGAAAAAGTGGCAGATAAAATGGGGGAGGGGTAGGAGGTACAAGATTAGAACTAATAGAAAGGAGCCTCAACATTCAGAATCTACAGAAAGACTGTAGATTAGCACTACTTTATACATCAAGAGCTCCCATTCTCTTTCTTTATGTGAATGATGACTGTTTAACTGGGGTATAGCCATTTTGAATTTGTCTTTTCACAAGTATCAATAATAGATGCCAAGAGTCTAGAAACTGGTGGTCTGGCCTTGGCCCAGTGCAGCAATGTGCCCTATAAATTCTCTGATGAAAGATCATCAAGTCTTGGCTTGGATATATCTGATAATTATTTTCCTAGGTCACTCAGATCCGTGACTAAGCTCTGTTTTCTAATTTCTCTCTTAAAAGCCTTTTGGATATGTCTGTTCTTCCTGCTGTGTTTTGCCTTCCTTGTCTAAGGACCTCTAACTAAGCATGTGTTCTCTTTTCATTTTTTCTCTCCATTAAGCTCACTCTAGAAGTTATTTTTTCAACACATTATCTACTTACATTCTTGACCAGGTTGCAGTTTTCAATAATTTTTAAAGCCTCAAAATGTAATTTTTAGAGTAGTTCTTTCATCACTTCATAATGCAATTTATATTTTAAATAATATAAATAGATTCAGTTTTAAAATTCTCATATATATGTTCAGACATATGAAATGTAAAATAAACAATGAATAGATGGTATTTTTTCTTTATCTTTTTAAAGAAAATGGATCTCTTAGATCTCATTATTAAATAGTGTATGAACAGGGTGAATATTAAGGAGTTACTCAGTATGCTAGGCCATGCCTATAATTACTTCAGAATAGCTTTATTCAGATTTTTAGGCAGTATTTTACTGATTTGTTATCATGAAATTTAAAGTACTTTTTTTTTCCTTTTGTAAAGTT